TTGTTCCTCAGCCGCCCGAGTAGCCGTAGCTGGGATTACAGGCATGTGCCACCATGCCTGGTTAATTTTTGTATTTTTAGTAGAGACAAGGTTTCACCATGTTGTCCAGGCTGGTCTCTATCTCCTGGCCTCAAGTGATTTGCCCACCTCAGCCTCCCAAAGTACTGGGATTACAGGAGTGAGCCACTGCGCCCAGCAACTGACAATGTTTTGAATATGAAATAGTATTTAGAGGATTCTTTCTCAGAAGACTTGATCTCTAATTTATGCAAAGAATATTGACACATTATTTTTTTCTTCCGTTTTATTTATTGCTATGAATGTATTAATGTGACGTAAACTTTTAGTTACAGTGTTCATGAATTCCACTTAAATTTTATGATCTCAAATTTATTGAAGTTTGGGTTGTGATTCTACTAAATAAATATCTTGATTTAGTATCTCTGTTTTCGGTATATCTTTGTTATGATTTTTATGGAGAATGTCAGAAAGCATCATCAGGTTTTTACTTTTATTGTATGTTGTATTTGCCTATTCCTAAAATTCTGTGATACTCAGCTTTGATCAAACCTGTCTATTGCATATTTGGTAAAACATTTGGGAAGAACTTAGGCAATTCTTGTCATATCTGGAGAAAGTGACAGACTATACAAATATATTTTTCTTCCTTTTGATTTTCTGTAGCTTTCAGTTTATAAAGTTGGTTCTTTGTTTTGATTTGTTGTATATTTAAAATCTTAGGAATAACTTGGTTTCTTTGCAAAACCAAACGTAACATAGTAAAATCAATTAAAAATGTAAATTATGCTGGGCACGGTGGCTCACGCCTGTAATCCCAGCACTTTGGGAGGCTGAGGTGGGTGGATCATTAGGTCAAGAGATTGAGATCATCCTGGTCAACATGGTGAAACCCTGTCTCTACTTAAAATACAAAAAAATTAGATGGGCATGGTGGTGCGTGCCTGTAGTCCCAGCTACTTGGGAGGTTGAGGCAGGAGAATTCTTTGAACCCAGGAAGCAGAGGTTGCGGTGAGCTGAGATTGTGCCATTGTACTCCAGCCTGGATAGCAAGAGTGAAACTCCGTCCCAAAAAAAAAAAGAAAAAGAAGTGTAAATTACTTCAACATGGCCAACATAGTGAAACCCCTCTACTAAAAATACAAAAAAATTACCCAGGCGTGGTGGTGTGTGCCTGTACTCCCAGCTAATCTGAAGGCTGAGGCAGGAGAATCGCTTGAACCAGGAGGAGGAGGCTGCAGTGAGCCGCGATTGCGCCACTGCACTCCAGTCTGGGTAGTAGAGGGAGAGTCCATCTCAAAAAAAAAAAAAGTTGAGGTATTAAAACTAAGTAATTGAAATAGTTTTTAATTTTAAAATATTTTAATTACAATAAACCCATTTTCTTTGACTTTTTCAAATAACGTTGTTAAAGACCCCATTCAAGACTTTTGTGGCACATAAGTATGATCTTTTCCCTAGTTCTTTGAGCATAAGATACCGTTATCCAAGTTTAAAATGTAAAAAATGCCATGTAACTGATTTTTCTCTCTGCAGTATAGCATTACATTATAAAAACAGAGACCGCTTATTTCATTGCCTTTGTATTTTTATCACTTAGAAATATCTGTTTGGGGCCAATTGTGGTGGCTCACACCTGTAATCCCAGCACTTTGGGAGGCTGAGGTGGGCAGATCACCTCAGGTCAGGAGTTTGAGATCAGCCTGGCCAGCATGGCAAAACCCTGTCTCTACTAAAAATACAAAAGTTAGCCCAGCATGGTGGTGAGCGTCTGTAATCCCAGCCAGAAGTTGCAGCCCAGCCTAGCCAACTTGGCGAAACCCCGTCTCAACTAAAAAGACAAAAATTAGCCCAGTGTGGTGGCAGACACCTGCAATCCCAGCTACTCAGGAGGCTGAGGTACAAGAATCACTTGAACCTGGGAGGTGGAAATTGCAGTGAGCCAGGATTGCTTCACTTCACTCCAGCTTGGGTGACAGAGAGAGACAGTCTCAAAAAAAAAAAAAAATTAAAAAAAATTAAAATTGAGAAAGAGAGAGAGAGGTAGTTTGTTGACATGGTGATAGAACTAGTATAGTAATTCCCTTGGAAAAAAAGAAGATAAGACTTTAAAACGGACCTATTTCTTTAAAAAGCAGTACATACTCTTTTTTTCCCCCCAAAAAACATATTGAGTACTTAAGGTTTTCAAGTAAAGAAGTAGCAGCCCTTGTGGCCAAGTGTAGTGGCTCATGCCTGTAATCCTAGCACTTTGGGAGGCCAGGGTGGGTGGATTGCTTGAGCCCAGAAGTTAGAGACCAGCCTGGACAAAAGGGTGAAACCCTGTCTCTACAAAAAACACAAAAAATTGGCTGGGTGTGATGGCATGCACCTCTAGTCTCAGCTATTTTGGAGGCTCAGGTGGGAGGATCACCTGAGACTGGGAAGTCGAAGCTACAGTGGGCTGTGATTGCACCACTGCATTCCAGTGTCAGTGACAGAGTGAGACCCTGTCTTTAAAAAACAAAATTACTAGTGCCACTTTTGGGGTACCCAATGCTGGTAAAAAGGCTATACAACAAAAAGTTGCATCACAGCAGAATAGGAAGTGTTACCAAAAAATGAATTAGAGACCTACACTTGAACTGTGTTCTTGATTACATTGGTTCTGATACAAAGTGCATGCTTAGTACCATTTATATTCTTACAGCTATTTTTTTTTGGAAGAATTGAAGGAAGTTTTAATTATGGCATATAAATACACAGTGTTTACACCTTTACTAAGCAAAGGTTTTATTTAGCTAAAGCAGCTTTATTAAGTGGACAGAAATAGGTAACCTGTTGGGCACTTACTTTGCTTACTATGGTGAGTACTTATACAAAATCAATTTGTGAGGTACTAGGCAACATAAGAAATAAAGAGGGCTGGGCGCAGTGGCTCACACGGGTAATTCTAAGCACTTTGAGAGGCCGAGGTGAGCAGATCACAAGGTCAGGAGTTTGAGACCAGCCTGGCCAATGTGGTGAAACCCCGTCTCTACTAAAAATACAAAAATTAGCCAGGTGTGGTGGCAGGTGCCTATAGTCCCAGATACTCAGGAGGCTGAGGCAGGAGAATTGCTTGAACCCGGGAGGCAGGTTGCATTGAGCCGAGATTGTGCCATTGCACTCCAGCCTGGGTGACAGACAGAGTGAGATTCCATTTCAAAAAAAAATAAGAAAAGAAATAAAGAGAAATATAAATGCAGATATATTTCTATATGTGGAATAGGAGAAATTGAATGAAAAAGTATGTATAATATATAGTATTATATGGGTGATATATTTTATATAAATATTTATAGATATATAAAAATATATATCTATAAATATATATAATGTATATAAATATATGTATAAAATGTATATATATATAATATATAAAATGTGTGTGTGTGTGTGTGTGTGTATATATATTTTTTTTTTTGGAGACAGAGTCTTGCTCTATCACCCAGGCTGGAGTGCAGTAGTGTGATCTCAGCTCACTATAACCTTTGCCTCTTGAGTTCAAGTGATTCTCATGCCTCAGCCTCCTGAGTAGCTGGGATTATAGGCATGCACCACCACACCTGGGTAATTTTTGTGTTTTTAGTAGAGATGGAGTTTTGCTATGTTGGCCAGGCTGGTCTTGAACTCCTGGCCTCAAGTGATCTGCCCGCCTCAGCCTCCTAAAGTGCTGGGATTATAGGCGTGAGCCACCACGCCTGGCTAGTATTTGTTTTTATTTAGAACATTTCAAATATACACCGAATAGAGTAATAGAATAATATAACAAATTCTATGTACCCCCACCCAACTTTAGAAATTTATGGTAGATTTTTAAATGTGCTATCAGTGATTAACAGCAAATTACTTCTGTAAAAAGATATAATTTCATTTACATATATTTGCACTTCTCTGCCATCAATCTTGGTAAATTTTATCTCCTAAGGCTCTATGAGCCTATGTATCACTTGATAAAGTCAATATATCAAAGTGATATTTGATATTTTCATGGACAAGCTAATATAGCAAAGTGACATGTAGTTTCCTCACTTACTGTGGAGCTCAATTCATTTGTAAATTTTCTATTTGGTTTGCTCTGAAGAAACAAAAATGATCTATCTACTCATTATTTGCAAATTATCAGTATTTTTAACCTCCACTTTCTAGATGTATATTTGTGTGTTACTAGTGCAGTGGTATCTTCTGGCAACATCTGGAAACATTTTTGATTGTCACAGTGGGTACATGCTGCTGACATCTAGTGACCAGGCACGCCACTCATCATCCTGCAATGCACAGCACATTCCACAGCAAGGATCATCCAGCCCAAAATGTCAGTAGTGCTGAGGTATAGAAACCCTGGTCCAGTGTAAGTGAAACTATTTTCGTGGACAGGCTATTTTAGTGTTTTTTGTTTAGTTTTGTTTGTTTTTAAAAAAGGAAATTGAGATTGGTCTTGAGGATTTATCTTTACTGATTTAAAGAAAAAATTTATTCTTGGCTGCGCATGGTGATTCAGGCCCATAATCCCAGCACTTTGGGAGGCTGAGGTAGGCAAATCACTTCAGCTCAGAAGTTCAAAACCAGCCTGGGTAACATGGTGAAAGCCCATCTCTACAAAAATACAAATGTTAGGCTGGTGTGCTGGTGTGTTCCTGTAGTCCCAGCTACTCGGGAGGGCTGAAGTGGGAGGACCCCTTGAGCTGGGGAGGTTGAGGCGGCAGTAAACTGTAATCACACCACTCACTATACTCCAGCATTGGCAACAGGAGACCCTGATTCAAATAATAATAATGAGAAGAGTCATCTTAACCACTCTGTTTGTTCACTAGCTACTTTGCAGATTACTTCTTTAAAACAGTTTGGGGCATTTAACACTATTACAAAAGCATTTTTACTCTTTAGCAGCCCTGACTGAAGAAAATTCTAAGAGCAATACATATGGTGTTTTTTTAAATTTCCTTTTTTTTTTTTTTCAGTCTCCGTAGAGACTCAATAATTGCCATTGCCAACTATATTTCAAGTCGTCATGGTGAGGTGTTGGGAAAGGTTTTCAATCAGCAATTATCACACTTCGTATAAACCTGATTGGCTACGATACTGCCACTGCGCAAAGCTTACATATGGTGTTTTAAACATGACTTTTCACTGCTCTTTGAAAAATTCTTACATTTGGAAAGATGTCTTCTCTTCTACCTCGCCCAATTTAATTCAAGCTTAATTTAATTTTTTGATTTCAGGTTTAAAGATTCACCTACCATAAAGAGAAAAATGTAGTATGAATTTGATTTCAGGTTTAAAGATTCACCTACCATAAAGAGAAAAATGTAGTATGAAATTGATTTCAGGTTTAAAGATTCACCTACCGTAAAGAGAAAAATGTAGTATGAAATTGATTTCAGGTTTAAAGATTCACCTACCGTAAGAGAAAAAATGTAGTATGAAATTGATTTCAGGTTTAAAGATTCACCTACCGTAAAGAGAAAAATGTAGTATGAATTTGATTTCAGGTTTAAAGATTCACCTACCGTAAAGAGAAAAATGTAGTATGAAATTGATTTCAGGTTTAAAGATTCACCTACCGTAAAGAGAAAAATGTAGTATGAAATTGAAGTGTGGCCCATTTCTCAGCTATAAGTAGAGAAGATTTACGTGTAGGATTTTTCATCATAAAGAAAGCTTATCAGAAAAGAAAATTAACTTTTCTTTCCACTGCCCACCATCCTCTCTAGCTTTTAACTTTTTCATTCTGGAAAATTTCAAAACATACACAAAAGTAGAGAAATAGTGAACTTCCATATACGTATCATTTATCTTCCAGTGCACAACAAGTAGTCATACTGAGGTATAGCTGAAACAAGAGTGACTTTGTGTACCTCACAGGATTATTTTAAAGAAAACCTCAGAGAGTGTACATTTTTCAGTACATTGTTTTTTTTTTGTTTGTTTGTTTTGAGATGGAGTTTCAATCTTCTTGCCCAGGCTGGAGTGCACTGGTGTGATCTTGGCTCAGTGCAACTTCCGCCTCCTGGGTTCAAGCGATTCTCCCCGGGTAGCTGGCCTTATAGGCATCTGCCATCATGCCCGGCTAATTTTTGTATTTTTAGTAGATACTGGGTTTCAGCATGTTGGCCAGGCTGGTCTCCAACTCCTGACCTCAGGTGATCCACCCATCTCAGCCTCCCAAAGTGCCGGGATTACAGGTGTGAGCTACTGCACCTGGCTGCTTTAGTAGGTTCTTCATATAGATTCCTTTTTAGAAAAATATGTAACCGTAAGATCATTACGATACCTAAAATGATTAACAATAGTTCCAAAATATCACGTGGATCTAGTTACTAGGAACTATGTGATGCTTAAATTTCAGTGTTTTCTGATATTTTTTCTCTTTTAAATACATTGTTTTCTGCTTTATGGTCTAAGTCTATCAGAAGTCACCGTGGACTGCAGTTATATAGCTTATAGCATCCGCTGGAGAAGATATCTTCATCAGGTCATTCATATTACCATGAAGACATGATGCAGTCTTGCTGCAGAACTGTTTGAGGGATTTGGCTGATAAGGAAACGACAGAATAGAAAAGTATTTCCGGAACAGTACGGAGGCACTGATGTCACACTGGAGCCAGTGCTGGGGAAAGTACAAATGCTGTGTTCACTGAGCATCATATGGATTGTTTGCCGATTGCAGCAAGTTAAAGTTAACAAGCAGATAAGTTGAGAAAGAAAATCTTGTCGATGCAGTATGACCAAACTCTAGTGAGTTGGGGGCTTTAAAATAAAAGTTGAAGTAAAATAGTAGCAGGTGGTATGAGAATTCATATGATGAATGGAATAAAAAATGTTATTTAACTTCATAGAGTGAATATGAATAAGGACTATATTGCTATATCTCAGTGTAAATATTAGGGACATTATATACAAGTTGTATACAAGCCTCAATTTAGAGTGTGAATTTCTTCCCTGGAATATTGATCAATAATTGAAACCAATTTTGTTGTAAGTTGAATTTAAAATAAATCTCTTGCAAGTTAGGTCCGTTTATTTATCTTTAATGCAAAAATGACGAAACACGTTTCAGTTCTGAAAGAAAACCTTGTTCTTATACGTTCCCACCAGCTGTTAGACAGACAGCTGTGGCCTGCCCACGGGTGACACTCTGATAGTGGCCAGCATATGTTGAAGAACAAGAAATACAGCTGAAGTCCTTTTTTTTCCTTAAAGAACTTCACATATGTGTATCAGTTCACAGATTCTTGCTTGTACAGACTGTATCATTAGCTGGTTTAAAAGAAGAAAGAGTAAAAAGCCCTGCAGACACACATACGTACTATTCTTTTTTTTGAGATGGAATCTTGCTCTGTTGCCCAGGCTGGAGTGCGGTGGCACGATCTCAGCTCACTGCAACGTCTACCTCTTGGGTTCAAGGAATTCTCCTGCCTCAGCCTCCCCAGTAACTGGAATTACAGGTGCCTGCCACCACGCCCTGCTACTTTTGTATTTTCAGTAGTGATGGGTTTCACCATGTTGGCCAGGCTGGTCTCAAACTCCTGACCTCAAGTGATCCTCCCACCTCAGGCCTCACAAGCTTCCCAGAGTGCTGGAATTACAGGCATGAGCCGTCACGCCCAGCCTCACTTTTTTCCCCCCTCCTCTGAAAGAGTCTTTCTTGAAAATATTTTACGGTTGAAAGTTGTGGCATTTTCTGCTCACAGAGGAAAAAAAAAGTACAGCATGCAGTGTTGTTTACCACTTCGGTTCTTTTATATACCATGCGGAACTGGGTGACTGATGATTTGACACATTTTGTTCCTTACTGTGTAACTTACGTGCCATACTTAAACCTTAGAAACACCTGGACTGTTCAGCACAGAAAAAAGTTGGGTTTAGAGCCCTTCTCGACCCTTTCTCTGCTGCTTCACGATGAAGGCTGATGTTTCTTAATTCACAAGTTGGGGACAGACTCCTGCAGATAAGGGGCTGTGGCATAGATGCCCCAGGTGCTGCTGGTGTTCACCGGTAGTCTCTTAAGACCTTGCCATTACTGTGCACACTAGCCAACTTCTGCATCTCAGCAACTTTGTCTCTTTTCTTGCTGCCAGCGATTCTCCCTGCCTGGAGGGCAGGCCAGGAATGCCAGGATATTAACACTTACTTAGGGGGTGGTGTTCAGCCAGTATCCGCCAGGAGTTGGTGGATAAACACCCAGCTCCTTTAACCCTCAGGTGGGATGACTAAGGCACATGTCCACACTGTTTTCTGGGTACTACAGCAGGACTAAGCACCAGTTTTCCTTGGTAGTATCCAGCTGGTACTGGTTTTCTACACTCATCACTTCAGAGGCTCCTTTCTTCTTCCTTTCTCTCTTTTTTTTTTTCTTCTTTTTTTGGGCGGGGAGGAAGGCAGGAAGGGAGGGAAGAAGGACGGTAGGGAAGAAGGAAGGGATGAAGGAAGGAAGGGAGGAAGCGGGGAGGGAGGGAGGGAGGGAGGGAAGGAAGCAAGGAAGTCAAGCAATGAGAGAGACATTGCCGACCTGGATCTAGAGGTTTATAAGTTGATTTCTTTTTTTTTTTGAGAGAAGAAAAGAAAAAAAAAAATAAGTAAAGGAGAGGAAGAAAGAGGAAGAGAAAGAGGGAGAGTAAATGGAAATATTGCTTTATTTTGAAAAAAATTGGGTATTAATAATGGCCAATCAATGTTTCATTTAAACTTATGGGTAGGTGTGATGTGGTATTGACAAGAATGTATATTTTGTGTGTTTGAAGTGGAGAGCTCTATAAATATTTATTAAGTTTACTTGTTCCGGATCTGAGTTCGAGTCCTCGATATCCTTATTAATTTTCTGTCTCATTGAATCTAAGTCTCCTATCTGGGTGTTAGGATTGTTAGCTCTTGTTGTTGCATTGATCCTTTTACCACTATATCTTTGTTGCTTTAAAATCTATTTTATCCGATACGAGAATTGCAACTCCTGCTTTTTATTTATTTATTTTTGCTCTCCATTTGGTTGGTAAATCTTTCTCCATCCCTTTGTTTTGAGTCTTTGTGTATCCTTGCATGTGAAACAGGTCTGGATGTAACATGCTGTTGGGTTTTGGCTGTGTCTTTTGATTGGGAATTTAGTCAATTTAAATTTAGGGTTACTGCCATTTGATGTTGATTGGCTGTTTTATCCATTTGTTGGTGTAAATTCTTCTTTATGTTGGTGCTCTTTACTTTTTGGTGTATTTTTAGAAAGGCTAATACTGGTTGTTTCTTTCTGTGTGTAATGCTTCTTTCAGAAGCTCTTGTAAAGCAGGCCTGGTGGTAATAAAATCTCTGAGTCCTTGCTTGTTTATAAAAGATTTTGTTTTTCCTTCAGTTGTGAAGCTTAGTTTGGCTGGATATGAAATTCTGGGCTGAAGGTTCTGTTCTTTGAGGCTTGTAGAGTTTCTGCTGAGAGATCTGCTGTGAGTCTGATAGGCTTGCCTTTGTGGGTAATCTGACCTTTCTCTCTGGCTGCCCTTAGTATCTTCTCCTTCGTTTCAACCCTGGTGAATCTAACGATTATGTGCCTTGGGGTTGCTCTTCTTGAGGAATATCTTTGTGGTGTTCTCTGTATTACCTGGGGTTGAATGTTGACCTGCTTTGCTAGTTTAGGAAAATTTTCCTGAATGATATCCTGAAGGGTATTTTCCAGCTTGGATTCATTCTCTCTGTCGCATTCAGGTACACCTATCAAACGTAAATTTGGTCTTTTCACATAGTCCCACATTTCTTGGAGACTTTGCTCATTCCTTTTTATCCTTTTTTCTCTAATCTTTTCTTCACGTTTTATTTCATTAAGTTGGACTTTGACCTCTGATATCATTTCTTCTGCTTGAACAATTCGAGTGTTTAAACCTGTGCATACTTCTCGGAGTTCCTGTATTGTATTCATCAGTGCCATTAATTCACTCATACTCCTCTCTAAGTTGTCTATTCTCAATAGGATTTCATCAAACCTTTTTTCAAAGTTCCTAGTTTCTTTACCTTGGGCTACAACATGTTCTTTTAACTCACCGAAGTTTGTTATTACCCATTCCTTGAAGAGTGATTCTGTCATCAGGAGGCGCTCGTTCTCCGTCAAGCCTTGTTCCA